AAGGGTCAAGTTAGACGTACTGTATTTTTGTAGGCCTGAATAAACCTACTTATACAAATAAAAATTCTAAAAATCTAATAAAGTTCTTGTTTCTTCACCACCTCTTATAATCATTCCACAACCTGAAGATATAGAGCCAAATTTGAAACTGCTTAAGAAATCCCAATTAACTTGAGATCACTGAATCAGTTTAACCCTTTCACTGTCGAGACCCCTGCTCATGAACTTGCTCTCAGTGTCGAAAAATTTAAAAAAACAAAAAAGAAAAATTTTCTAATGAAATGATAATCTTGTCCTGATGGTAATGACACTAAAAGTACAAAATTTGATGGAAAACTTACGGAATTACAGTTTCGCGAAGTTAGCGGTTTTGGCGATATAAACGCATTGGCGATTTCGCTCACTTTCAGCCCTATTTTTGGTTAATTCCATTGTTCCAGTCGACCAAACTCATAGCTATTTCGCTAGAACTCTGTTTGTTCTATCGAATGAGTACAAGAAACCACCCAATTACAGAATTCAACTACCCAATAAAGTGGCCAGAGATCGGTAATTTGGCCAATTTCGCACAAATTTCAAAAGATGCCAATTTCAAAATAGGGTCCAGAATAAACAATGCAGACATTCCTGGCACTAAAATAACATTTTCTCTGTTTATTAGCCACGTTTCCACGCCCTTCTTATATTACTCTGCTTTCCATTTTGAACTTTTATTCACACAAAAATAGATTTATTGTTATGCAGACTACTGCATTATTGTAATAATTGTATAAACAATGGCAACCCATCATGACTGCGTATTAGACCGGCCAGTTGGACACATACTGGATGGTGACATCATTTGTTCACTCTTGAACATTGGCAGCAACTGAGCATTTCCGCTACTTTGAGCTCAATTTCAAAGTATAGTGGACCCCCGGTTAACGATATTTTTTCACTCCATAAGTATGTTCAGGTGCCAGTACTGACTGAATTTATTCCCATAAGGAATACTGTGAAGTAGATTAGTCCATTTCAGACCCCCAAACATACACGTACAAACGCACTTACATAAATACACTTACATAATTGGTCGCATTCGGAGGTAATCGTTATGCGGGGGTCCACTGTACATACTTTTCATCGTGAAACCAATCGAAATCATCTCTATTTCTGTAATGTATCCTCCATTCTATCAAATGATACCAAGAAAACGAGAATACAATCATAAATACCATACAAAAATACACCTCAAAGACAGCATTTTAAACCAAAAACACAGTCAGATTTTTTTTTCTCATTATGCACCGTGTGTTGCAGAATTTTTTTTATATGGCGCACAATGACTGCACAGACCCATTTTTTCACATGTAGGCCTACCAGCTTTCTCCCACCAGATTTGAAGGCGATACAATTTTGGCATAGTGTTACGGGACAGACACTGGCTTGCAAGCAGTAATATTATGGGACCAATAGTGGAAGGGTTAAAGCTTTAACGCATGCTTAAAATTGTACTATTGTTCACTTAGTAACCTCACTTCTGTACATCTAAAAAAACTCCTGCTCAATAACCCATGTTTAGTTCTTAGATAGTCTGTGAGCATCAGGATTAATCTGCCTGAAATGCATAGTCTATAACTATTAGGTTAAGTCTGCCCGAAATGCCTCGGTAAGATAGTGTCTTTCTTTGCTCCAACCAAATTATGACATGCAAACACACACTGTAATCTTAGCAAAGAAATAATTTTTTATTATTTTATTATTTATTATTATTTAAAATAAATACCTGGTGTCAGTTGACTGGTTTGGGGTTGCATCCTGGGACAAAACTGACCTAATTTGTCCAAAATGCTCTGCATAATAAGGGGCTTTCTACATTTTAGTATATCATTGATGGTCTATGTAAGTTGTATACTTGGAGAGGGTTTCGGGGGTCAACGCCTCCACAGCCCGGTCTGAGACCAGGCCTCATGGTGGACCAGGGCTTGATCAACCAGGCTGTTACTGCTGCCTGCACTCAACCCGACATATGAACCATAGCCCAGCTGGTCAGGTACTGACTTTAGGTGCCTGTCCAGTGCCTTCTTGAAGACAGCCAGGGGTCTACTGGTAATCCTCCTTATGTATGCTGGGAGGCAGCTCCTGACACTTATTGTGCTGTCTTTTATCGTGCTAGTGCACCCCTGCTTTTCATTGGGGGGATGTTGCATCGTCTGTCGAGTCTTCTGTTTTCGTAGGAAGTGATTTTCGTGTGCAAGTTTGGTACTAACCCCTCTAGGATTTTCCAAGTGTATATGATCATGTATCTCTCCTGCCTGCATTCTAGGGAGTAAAGGTTGAGGAACTTCAAGCATTCCCAGTAAGTGAGTGAGTGTTTTTTATCACAGTTATGTGTGCCATGGCGGTTCTCTGTACACTTTTTAGGTCAGCAATGTCACCTGCCTTGAAAGATGCTGTTAGTGTGCAGCAATATTCCAGCCTAGATAGAACAAGTGACCTGAAGAGTGTCATCATATGCTTGGCATCCCTAGTTTTGAAGGTTCTCATTATCTATCCTGTCATTTTTCTGTATTCTGACATTTATTCTCCAAAAATTCTTTGCTCTCGTCATATTCCAATTAGCCTTGATACTGTAGTCATAATTAACATTTTCTTTCTATATCTGTATGTCTCAGTTAACTTTATTTTGTTTGACTGTTTCTCTTTCATTTGCTGTTTTAGCTTTTCAATTGTATGTGTGTGCATGTGGGGGAAACACGGAAACCTCAGGTGGGGAAATACGTAAACCTCAGGTGAGGGAAATACGGAAACCTCAGGTAGGGGAAATAAGGAAACCTCAGGTGGGGGTTGTGCGCCAAGTAAAAAAAAACACAATGGGGGCAACAAAAAACGACAATGGGGACAAGAAAAACCACGAGTGTGAGGATCGTAAATTTGGGTTTCACGTGGGAGCTGATTCTTGGCTTCTGGCCTCCATCTTTCAAGTGTTGGCAACAGACATTATGGTTTGTGGTCAATTAACCCTTTTCAGGGTCCGTCCCGTAGATTACGGCTTTACGTTCAGGGTCCAAACCGTAGATCTACGCCATGAGCTCAGCTCACTCTGATAAACTGTGAGTGGTACATTTGGGCCTAGATATGAGAGAATACATCTATGTGGTATGTGTGCTACCACATAAAACAGATCCTGCAGCACACTGTGTATAATGAGAGAAAAAAAAATGAAATCATGATTTTTCGATTAAAACAGCAACTTTGCAGTGTTTTTTCGAATGTTTTTTATAGTTGTATTTGCGATTTCTTGGTCTCATTTGATAGAATGGAAGACATATTACAGAAATAGAGATGATTTTGATTGGTTTTAGCACTGGAAATGGCTTGAAACTGAGCTCAAAGTAGCGGAAATGTTAAATTTTTGCCGATATTCAAGAGTAAACAAACGACCTCACACGTCTAATACACGTCAGCTGGTGGGTCTAATATACATTCACAAATATGGTGATGATATTTATACAATTATTTACAGATTGCATAACAGTAAATCTTCTATTTTTTCGTGTGAATAAAATTCATTATGTGAATAAAAAATCAAATGGAATTTATTTGTAAAGCCTCAAAACATAACTAATGAACAGAGGAAAATGTTAGTTTAGTGCCAGGAATGCCTACATTGTGAATTCTGGACCCTATTTTGAATTGGAATATTTTGAACTTTGTGTTAAATTGGCCAAAATTAACAATTTCCGATCACTTTATTTTGTAGTTGAAACAGTTTGACTTGGCGATTTCTTGTGCTCAATTGATAGAATAGAAGTAATACTAGTGAAATAGCTAAGAATTTGGTTGATTGGAATAATGTAATTGGCCTAAAATGGGAGTCAAAGTCGGCAAAATCGCCGATTCGTAAATATCGCTGACACATCAAAATTCGCGAGAGCATAATTTCGTCAATTTTCCACCAAATTTCGTACTTTTTGTTTTATTACCTTCACAAAAAGATTCTCTATGATTTCATAAGAAAAAATAACAAATTTTTTTTTTTTAAATTCTTGGACACTGGTGCGTGACTCCAGATTTGGGCCTTGGACCCTGAAAGGGTTTAAACTCCATCATACCTATTTCTAAAACCATGTACAAAAGATTATAATGCTTCCTCTACCACTTCATATTCAATCCCATCTAAGTGCATTTATTCCTGGTCCTTGCATTTCAAACAGCCTGACCATATCCACTTCATTAATTCCTCTGAGTATTTTGTATGTTATAATCATGTTTCACATAATCCTGTCTTCCAGGCAACACCACCACCCTCCCCCATAGTTCTAGGACTACCGGTAGTCTGAGACTATTAGTTAATTAAGGTTTGAGATACAATGGAGCACTAACAGTCCAGGTGGATTAGGGCCTGAGGTATTCTAAACTGACGATCCATACAACCTAATGCACTGCAAAAATCTAAGCAAAAATGTAAAGAAATAATTTCCAAAGCAAAATAATACACTATAATACAAAGATCATATCAATGTGCCAGTACCAAAATACAATTTTCCATTCTCTGAAATATCAAATGGCAGGTTTTTGGTGTTCAGTTGTATACAGGTGTTCCTTGATTTATGATGGGGTTATGTTCTGATGAATCCATTGTAAGTCGAATATCAATATGTGATAAATAAGCAGATAAAATAACTACTGTAACTGAATAAGTAAATAAACTGATAATGACTGTAACTGCCTAAATGCCAGTATTGAAAAGTAAATAAATGAATACAAGTTTATCCTATCAATAAATGTACAGTACTGAATGTGCATTGCTATGGCACCATCATAAAGTCAAAATATCATAAGTCCAACCATCGTACAGCAAGAAGCACCTATACAGGGAAGTAACAATAAACTTTGGCTAAATATACAACCTACCATCCTCTATGAGTTGTGCCGAGGTGGCATCAGCCGGCAGTGTTGGCATTAGGGTGGACATAGTCGTATAGTCCATAGATTCATCCAGATTGATGAAGGGAGTGTTCCAGCGTGGCACCGGTGGCGTTGACCGTGGGGTGGTACGTGGGGTGGTACCGGGAGAGGTGAAGAGGCTCATACTTGTGGGAGAAATAACTCCTGACATGGCACTCACTGGACTCATACTGGAATATGTAAATAGCTGAAAAGGAATGGCTTCTATTACTATGTGGAAAACACTTATCAGAACATTAAGTGTTAAATGCACACAAATACTAACCTGAGGTAACTGAAGTGCCAGGAGCAAGGGGCTAGTAACCCCTTCTCCTGTGTAAATTACTAAATGCAAAAAGAAAAATTTTCATTTTTCTTTTTAGGTCCCCCTGCCTTGGTGGGAGATGGTCGGTATATTAAAAAAAAAAACTAACCTGTGACTGAAGACTTAATGATTAACCCTTTGACTGTTTCAGGCCCCTCTCTGAAACTGTCATTCTATGTCGCCAAATATTCGAAAAAAAAAAAAAAATTTTTCTTATGAAAATGTTAGGAATATTTTTAGTAGTGTTTTAAGCCTAAAAAAAATTTTTGCCATCAGTACTTACCGAGATATAGAGCCGCAAAGTTTGCAGAAAGTGACGTGGTACGGCAACAGCGGCGACCGCCACCCCCCCGGGTATTCTTTTATTTACTCTAATTCAAAGGTTTCTTGCATTTTTCAATATTTTTCTGTTCCAGGTAACTTATGTGGCCTGTGAGACCAATGTAAGGTGCATTGTTAAAATATACACTCATTGTTTTACAACACAATAACTGAACAAACTTTATCACTATTAGTTTGTGTATACACTTTTTTTTTTACACAAACAAACAATACAAAACAATGTTTATTACTATTGTTCCATAATTATATACATATGTACAGTCACTAAAAAACGTTCCTAGAACTGCTGGGAGCTTGTGGAACTCTTTGAAACATGGGTATATGCAGAGGGGGACTTCACACTCCTCACACATAAAACGAGTGTCTCTGCGTGTTTGTGGGCGTTTTTGTGGTATGCATACATACATAACCTCTTCTGAGCATTTTTCCATTTTTGGGGGTTGTTTTTTTAACCCCGGTAAAAGGAATTTTTCTGGGGGGTTTTTGAGGATTTTTTTTTAAATTTATTTGCAAAAAAATTTTTTGAACAAAAATTCCCAATTTTTTGGTTTTTGGGTTTATTGAAAGGAAAAGGGCATTTGATGGTTCAAAAAGGGGGGTTTTTTTTCCACAAAACCTTTCTTTTCCGCTGAAAACCAATTGATTACTTTGTCCCACGAATAAATTTGTGCCCTTTGCGGGAAAGGTTTAAATTTCAGGGGTCCGTTGCCCCTGCAGGGTTTTAATTTTCGCTGTAAAACTTGTAAAAAGGGAAAATCCTTTGTAGAGGCTGTTTTCATTCAGAAAAGGCGACCCCAGGAGTCCAGGTTGTTGGTTTTTTTAATTAAGATGTCCCCAAATTGTAAGCCCCGGGAAAAACCCTGGTGGGGTTGGGTTTTGTTTTGTTTCCAAGATGGTCCACTTTGGGGGGGCCCCAAAGGGATCCCCAACTTTTTACCTTCAGTATTACTCCAGTGTCACAATGATATCCAAAATGACCATTTTTTGCAATCACACAGTACAAATGTTTTAACATTTCCTTTTTTTGGTTTTTTTCTTAAATGAGAGTCCCCTTTAAATAAAACAAGGACTCATCAAAACAATTCCTGAAGGAAAAAAATACTGCAGCACTTTTGTTTCAGGAATAACAATTTTATCTTATATAACTGTCGTTCTGTCAGGCCTGGTTTTGTTGAAAAGGAAAACATAGTAACAGTATCAGGAAACGATGACCCCTAAAAAGTCACAAAACCGGAGTTGAAATCAGGCGTTCTGTTGCCCGTAGTGGTGACAGGTGCTCTACCATGTGGCAAAGATTATTGTGGAAAAAAAAAAAGGTCTCTCGCCCGTTTTTCCTTCCACTTGTGTACCATGATTTTGGTGAGAGAATTGTATTTGCCCTGGTGTAATCACAAATGTGTTTGTTTCCCAGACAATGATGTCCATCAGGGGTTCATCGAAAAATAACTCAAACTTCCCGTTCACGGGATTTTTCCAAGTGGACGGTGGCTTTATTCCACTTTGTGTATCATCAAAGTATGGGGACTGGGAAAAAAATCGTCACGTCCTCCAATCCCTGCGGTCTGTGGTGGGGGGTTTGGGTATTGTACCCTGGTTTGGTTGTGGGTTTTGGGGGGGCGGTTGGGGGTGTGGGGTAGGGTGAGGTGGTTGTTGTGCTGCTCAGCAGCGTGGGTAGTAGCGTGGCCCTGATTTGGGGCCCCTGGGCGTGCCCCCCTACTATACCCCAAATGCCCCCTCCCCCACTGTCACCCTTCTACCCCTCGTTACAAAAATCGTTTTATCTTCACAAACGGTCGTGGTGTAGGGCCACGGGGTGTCCTCCCAGAGTTTTTTCCTTCCCCTTTGGGAAAAACTATAAACCTACCAGCCCATGCTCGTCTACTATGCGCTTCAGGGGAATATTCACTCTCACTGTCACAGAATGCTTTAATGAAACCCTTTAAATCACTATCACTATCCTGCATCATCTGGGTGTTTACACGGCCAAAAAGTTTCCTCTTTCGTCCGGTTAAGGTAAACGTGAACGTGAACAAGCCGGCACAGCACCAGAGGTGGAAGGTTGTGGGTCATCTGGGTTTTCATCACTAATTACGTTATCCTGGGCACTTTTTCCGGTAACACTCGCTTCAAAACCCTGGAATTCACTGTCACTGACATTTTCATCACTGTTAGAGCTATCACTTGGGAACAAAAGACCTCCAATCCGCCGAGGAGTGAGGAACTTCTTACCAAGAGGCATGGTGAAAATGGACTAACAACATGGCGTTCCCACAATGCACCGCTGGGTCCCAGATTTTTTTCACGGGGTGCACACCGACCACTGAGACCCATTCTCTCTCGTGTAGGCCTACCAGGCCTTTGGCGCTTGATTTGAAGCCGCTAGAATTTGTGCATATAAATACGTCAGAAACATTGGCTCGTAAGACGTATTTATACGTCGGAAACAGTCAAAGGGTTAAAGAGAATAAAGTCACATTTCAGTTCAGTTACGCTCAAAGAGCTTAAATACAAACATATGTAGCATTGCCTTGTTGTATCACAATAGTTACCCTTCAAGGACATGGCCTTGATACTGGTGAAGGGCACTTGATCTAAGGAATAGGAACTGTGCTCTCCTCCCTTTCTTTGGATTGAACCTAATTACAGTGGACCCTCAGCCAACGATATTAATCCGTTCCAGAGAGCTTATCTTTAGGTGAATTTATTGTTAGTCAAATTAATTTTCCCAATAAGAAATAATGGAAATCCAATTAACCCATTCCAGACAGCCAAAAGTATTAAGTATTAATTTTTTTTTTTTCATGAAATATACATTTCCCTACAAAGAAAACAATGAGACATGCACAATAACTACATAAATAAATGTTAAAATGACACTTACCTTTATTGAAGAGTATTGATGAGTGATGAGAGACTGTTTTTCTTAAACACTCTGGGATTTTCAGAGTGATACACGAGTAAAGGCTTCACTTTGCAATCCCCACTAGAATTACAACAAAACATGAGAGTTAGCCTGTCTTTCATAGGCTTGTGTCCTGCAAGTGCCTTTTCCTCCTGAGTAATGTAGGTCCTGTTTCGCATTTTCTTCCAGAACAGGCCTATTTTGTCACAAGTGAACACTTGCTGGGGTTGGAATTTTTCAGCATCACCATGCCTTATCACACTGTGTATGCAACTAAGATTCTTAAATCTCTCAAACCAACCTTTGCTGGCCTTAAATTCACCAATATGAGCACTAGTACAGCTGATGGTGGTGGAGCAGCAGCTGATGGTGGTGGAGCAGCAGCTGACAGTTGTGCAGCAGCAGCTGACGGTGGTGCAGCAACAGATGAGTGTGATGCAGCAGCAGCTGACCGTGGTACAGCAGCAGCTGATGGTGGTGCAGCAACAGCTGATGGTGGTGCAGCAGCAGCTGACCGTGTAAGATGGTATTTCGACAGTATTTCTCACCCTTTTTACCACAGGGTTGGCACTAGTAGCTTTCTTTGGGCCCATGGTGGCTTATTTAGCAGTTTTTTTTTTTTAACAAAAAATTTATTGAATATATGCGTGGAACCGTCCACCCTGGCTTGTAAACAATGAGGGCAGGGCAGCTGAGGCGCTCAGGCTGGACGGACAGGTTCGGGACGAATCACGTTGGTCAAGTTTTTCATCGTTGGTCAGGCCAAAATTTTTACGCACAAACACTTCATTGGACGAATTTATCATTAGACGATGCCTTCGTTGGCTGAAGGTCCACTGTACTTCCTATTCCCTAGGGTCTATAATATGATCCTCACAGTTCAGCACTTCTCAAAGAATATAAGAATAATAAATATGACAAAATTAATACTATAAGGGCACTGACTAATATTTTAGTCTAAATCTTAAATACTGAAAAAAATTAATAAAATGATATTGAATCACGAGGCATAGTGTGGCGGAAAAGAATGTGTGTCAAATACAATGGAATAAATGTAAGGAGATGAGAACTGTGAAGCTCAAATTACCATACTTTGTAATGGAAATCTGAGCCTAACTTACAGATGCAGAAGACAATATCTACACATCCCGCACAACAGATAAAATATTAAGGAATAGAACTCGTTTACTAACCCGGATTTTGGCCATCATGGCGCTTACTCATTTCTCATGCGCAGCCTCTCACATGGAAGAGAACAAACACTACAGAAGCCAGATCAAAGTTAGTAGCCTATCTTCTGCAGTTTGTACCCTTATGCTAGTACAAAGAATTACATAACCAGAGGATTCACTATAGCAGGAATCATGTACAGTACCGTATACATATTCCTCAAATAAAATGACCACATGTACACTGGTTAGTACTTATGGCTATTATTGCAGTCGCCAAACTTAGAACATATGTACATCACAAACATTACTGCATATTTTGACGATTCAGAGCAGTTTGAAGCATTTTCTGATGTGCCTCATTTTTTAGCTAAAATTCATAAATTATCACAATTTTAATCGAAACTGATGCTACAAATTGCATTTTACTGAATAAGTAAGCCAAATCATATAACATGTGTATTTTCATA